GAGTCTGCCAAAGTGCCAAGAAAGAAAGATCGCGTCTTATTCTACTTATAATCGGTCGTTGTAGCCGCGATTAATCACAGACGAATTAAGTAATCGTTCGGTATTTCTCCGATATACGATGAACCCGGATCTTGTGATACCGGGAAGCAGACGAGGGAATCGAGTTATTAAACGAACGAGCTTAACAAATCGAGAACAATGGGCGTGCACGGATAATAAATCATCCCAGACGTGTTTTCTCGAAAGCGCACTCTCTTTTCGCCGGGGAAACGAGTGTGTCACGTTGAAATTGGAGGCCTTCTCGCGTCGGGCCACGGACATTAATCACTTCTGTCCGTTTCGGCCTAAGCTTTTAGAGGCTCGACCGAGAAAATTAATTGGGAATTAGAAACACGGTCCGTCGCTGCGCATTGATCACGGTCGATGATCCGAGGGAATGATTAATCGATTGTACACGCGTGTCCTATCGAGTGGACACCGCGGAAAATTCGGCCGTCTGATCATTATTCGCGACGGAGCGATAATTATCAAATGCCGAAATGCCCGCGTGACGGTATCAGTCAGTCGTGAAATTAATTACCGTTCAACAGGTAAGTCGCTCGATAGTCGACGACTCGATTGTAAACGTCGCGGCGAGACAGCCTGTCGTTTGTCAATTTTTATCTCCGCGGCACGTATATATTTCTGTTCCATGTCACGCGGTTAATTGCTCGCCTCGTCTTCCATGAAACAATCCGGCATTAGACGTTTTACGACGCGTTAACTTCTCACGCTATCTATCGTAATTGCGGGTATTAATCAATGGACGATAAAATTTAATATTTCTTCCCAATCCGATAAAATGAAACTTTGATAAAGGTTGTATGAACCATAAGACCTCTGCACAAAGTTTGCGAAAATTGTTCGACTTGTTTTTCTCGGTCATAAAGAATTGCAACAAGTTTACATCGTCCTATAATACCTATAATTCTTACTTTTGCATACTTTTTATTGTATATCTTAAATAATATCTTTGAAATTGACATTATTTCAACTTTAAAATATTCTTAAATCATCTATTAAGAATTGTATAAAATTACAAAA